CGGTGTGGATGAAAGGAATGCTGCCACCCTGTACAACCTTCAGGAGTACCATTCATACCGTGCAAAGGCTGTGAATAGAAAAGATGCTGCAACCTGAAATAGAAGTAGAAAGGATGTTATAGCCTCTGGAAGAGACAGTTTTCTCCAGAACCCTCTTTGGATCCTGAGGGAATGGTGTATGAAGAGACAAAGGCCAGCCAATGTGACAGCAGATCTCTGACCTCTGCAGGAACCCATCTCCAACAGTTTAGACTTAGTCAGTGTGTGATAGCCCCTCTTTATCTCTCCTCACCTTCATCTCAGCACCAACCACAGAAAGACAAACATGACCCTTAACCTACACATTGAAGAGCTCATCACCAGCTTCCCAGTGCCAGTCACCTTTAGCTCAGGATCCACCTCAGTCCTTCCTCCCCTTCATTTCTATGGGACTCCTTGCTGTATTGAGCAAGCCAAGCTGAGTCAGTAGCCCTGTTTCTTCTTTTTTAGGGTGCTCTTTATTTCCTGTCCTCTTTCTGTGGAGGGCAATGCAGCCACGTGTCACCATCTTGAACACATGAAGGTTTGAGGACCCTGCATTTCTGGTATTGAAGACCATCCCGCCACCTGCTTTGAGATGCTATCAACAGAGACGGGCACACTTCAGTCTTTTAAGGTACTGCTTTGGGTCGGGTTCCCACACCCCCACCTCATGTGCATGTCTCTCTGAGGAGGCCTCTTGGTCTTAGATGCAAGAGTCAGACTTCATCTATTTAAACTGCACTAATGTGGGACTTGTGCAACTCTGCCCGGGGCACCTTGAGCGAGAGGGAACATTTACACTGGAGCAAAAGTTAGAGTTTGCTGAGCAGACTCATGTATTCTGGATTTCAGTCATTTAAACTGTTAAACTGGATTTTAAAGGTACTTTAACACCTTTCATTTGCATCCAATGATTGATATGCTAATTACAGGAGACATACCTATTCATTAAGATGAGGTGGCCGCTTAGCAGGGGCAGTCTGTGGATTCTGGCAATGTAGAGGGATGAAGCTTATCTTTACATAGCATTCTAGATTCTTACAGATTCTTTGTGAACTTTTGGGAAGTGGAGATAAACTATCACATTTTCCTGACTATCACAAGCCTGTTTTTATGTCCCCATGAGATTCTGTCTCTCTGTGGCTGTGGTTTCGTCCAGAGTGTGTGTAGTGATATCCACCTCTACACCTGTAGCACTGACCATGCCCTTTTGGGTGTGGTCAAGGTGCTCACATGACCGGTGATAAGGATTAGGTTTGAAGGCCAGAGCTCCCTCTGGCTTCCTGCTTAGGTCCAAGGAGAACATTGGACCTTGGAGGTCCTTGGAGCAGGAACCCGTGGCAGTCATCTGTTTCTTGTGTAAGTGTATTCTCCCCAAATAAACTTCACTTAACCTGTACTGAGTCTAGTGAATCGTGATTCCCACACCTACAAGTGTGGATCAAGATACCAGGGCACTAAACAAATTTGAATAGGAAATAGAGTAATTTATTGCCATCCACATACAACTTGTCCTGTTCACGAGCAGTTCAGGGCCTAGGTTCTAGGAAGCCATGGCTCCTCATTCCTCCTCATCACACTTTTAGATCCACAGGGGTGAACTCACGGTGCTCACTCCTCAGCACCACGGGCACAGTCATCTGTGGTCTTGGGAGATGATTGGCTCACAAGATGTGCCTGTACATACAGTTTACACCTCAGACTTTTGTGTCCTTTGACCCATGTAAGTCAGATACTACCTTTACTAAAAACAAATAATTCTTCACTGGGTCCCATGAGGTAGGATGGAACTTTGGCATTTCTGCCTTCATTTTGGACCTCGTTTCTTTTCTTTGTGTCACCTGCTAACCTCTGCATGACAACCACTCAAGGGGTGCCTATCTAGAAACACTAGAATCTAATCTATCTTACTCCCCTCCAAGGTTAAAGGCACAAAAGAATCACAGAGGCCTCTTAATGTCAGTGTTTTACAATGTCCTGTTCACATCCCCGAAGGGCATCGAAAATCTCCCATTATCATCTTAAGTCTGCTGTTGCTTCCAATTCCAGGAGCAGCAGAACTTGCAGAGATAGAGCACCTCTCAGATGAGGGAAATTACCCATGGTCACCAGATTGCTTCGCCCAAGCAATGCGGCTTCTTCAGATCATCCTGCAGAACTAGAACTGGGCAAGAACATCCAGACCACATCTTGATCAGTATGGTATAATTATGTCTACCTGGTGCCATTCTCCCTTTGACCTGAAGCTCTAGTCAGTGCCCCAGAGATGGACTTGGGGTCATGTGGTCCCTGTATCTGTTCTTCCCAATGTAAGTATGGACCAAAACCCATCCCTTTGCTTTTCATCATTACTCATCTTTTTAATTGGTTTATTGGGACAGGAGGCCAAGCGGAACTTGTTGGGGCTTTTGCCCTAAAACTCTGCCAACACCTCTACAATGTTGGCAGAGCACATGAATGCAGATGCCCTTGGAGTTTCTGTAGTGCTTCCTGGCTCTGAGACCATGGAACCATTCAGGAAGTGTACTGCAGCAGTTTACTTCCTTGTCACATCCAAGGCCCTAGTCTTCAGCATCCACCCACACATCTATCCATCCACCCATTAAACATTTGCTGTGAGACTACTGTATGTTATCATAAAATAGTCATGATCTTCAAAGAATTCATGGTCTACAGTGCAAACACATTTGAGTGTCTAACTGTTATTAAGTATAATGAAGCCTGTTATTGGCAAACTACCAGATAAAGACAGGAGAGTGGGCAGATGTCCGAAGAGGGAGACAGCCTTGCAAATGCCAAGCAAATGATACTTAATGAACTTTTACTGGGATCTTGGTTTTTGAATGAGATGGAGCTGAAGAAGAGAAAGCATACCAAAGCAAAGGAGAGGGAATGGGCCCAAGTATGTAGACTTGAAAAGGACACAAGAAAGCACATGTAATTCTAGAATGTTGGAGGGGAGGATGAGAAAGAGGCAGGAAAAGAGCCAGATGATGGGAATTAGAATCATCTTGGGTGCCATGCTGGAGGAATTGACACCATCTTGAGAGTCTGGGACATTCAAGGTAAGACTGGGAAATACATACATGGGCTAAGCAGACTATGCATACTAGGAGTTGGGAAGCTCAGGAGTGTAGCTCCCATCCAAAAGCTGAAATGTTTCCCACACTTTGATAGCAATAGTTTCAGTTTGTAACCATTACCAATTATTTCAAAGCTTCATGCTGGCCAGGCATATCTGATGCTCCTTCAGTCCTTGGCCCTTCAGTTTGGTATTTTCAGTTGAAAGTATCTAAGCAGAGATATTATCCAGTCAACGGAGAAGGAGCTAGGCCTACAGTATGGCTTAATCCCAGATACTCCGGAGGCTGAGGGTGGAAAAGCTTTAGTTCAAGGTCACCATGGGAAACTTGGTAAGACGTTACTCAAAATTTAAAAAAATCCAGGAGCAGGGGAGAATCAGTAAAGCTTCCTGAGTAAGCATGAGAACTTGTGTTTGCTCCTCAGCACCCGAGGGAAAAGCTGGGCATGGTGGCATGAGTTTGCAATCCTAGCACTGGGGAAGTGGACACAGGCAGTTCCCCAAGGCTTTCTATTTAGCCAGCTAAGCATAATTGGCAAGATCCATCAAAGTAAGATACTCTGCCTTAAAACAAACAAAACAACAAAAACCAAGGTAGACAGTCTACCTGAGAAACAATACCCTAGTCTACCTGAGAAACAATACCCTAATTGGTAAGCCTCAAGCTAGTAAGGCTCTGTCTCAAAACACAGTATGGATGGCCTGCTTCATGTATGACACCTGAGACTGAGCTCTGGCTTCCACATGCATGTGCACACATGTGCCTGGGCATCCATACAGACATGCACACACTCTCCCCCATCCCGAACATGTATGTACAAAACACACTAACACAATCAGAAAACAAATGCAGAAACGACTTTGGTATAACTTAGTTTGAGAACTCTTGCCTAGCTTGTACAAGGGTCCGGGTTCAGTGCTTATTCCTGAAGATAAACAAATAAAATGAAAACATTCCTCCAGATCTCAATGCAGTCTTTCTGTTCCAGACTCTTAGAGTCAGAAACCACCCCATCCTCACCCTGGTTTCTCCCCCACACAGTCTTCACACCTCACCCACCCCAGACTGTCCACACATGTCTTCCACATCACTGACTACTTCTTACTGATTTACTCATGAATGAGGCCTGGCTTCAAGAGAAACACTCAGTGTTAAGGACACCAGAGAGCCATATTTATTTCACATGGACAAGCATGATTCCGTGCATGCTGAACATGAAAGCTCGTGTGAAGAAAGTACCCGTAACAGCAGAATTGTGTGCTTTTTTTTTTGTCCACAGGGAGCAGGGAGAGTCACAGAGTACTTTTCAAAGACAGCATCCTCCAAGCACAGTGGAGACCACGGGCTTTGAAGTCACTGGCTTATTTCATCATCACAGAGTCCATCTCCTGGAGTGGCCAGAGAGGTGTTTTTGGCTCTGCATATTGTCAATGAGCTGCTGCATTCTGAGGAGGGTGGAGGGCGTTCTCCTGTCCTACCACTCAGGACTGCTGGGGAAGATGAAGCTCAGAGGGAAGGTACATGCCACATGGAATTAAGAAGTCCACCACTGCGTCTGCGTACACAGTGATGGGATGGACTGCTGTTCTCACAGCAACAGAACCATCTCCACTCAGGATATCACCCAACATTGGGAGATCCACTCTTCTTACAGCAATTCCCCAAGGCCTCTCGGGGGTGGAAGGGAACAGATTCTGGAACTGGATGTCAGATCAAGTAGACTTTTCCTGGACGGGGCAGGGACCACCGGTCTCTTGGCCTTTACTCTGCTTCCTGGTTCCAAGACGATCCTTCATAGGGCTCAAGATGGGAAGAAGGGCTAGAGATGAGAATCAGGGTCTCTGGGAGCAAACCTCATGGAAGAGACGAGAGTAGAGCCCTTGTATCTCAGGAGACTCACTCCCACCGGAAGTCCTGCCCAACGGTTTCATAAAATTTAATATTATAAGGTCTATAAAACTCCCGGAGCTGGTCTATGACCTCAGGGTCGATCTGGACATGAGTTCTCCCTTTTGATTTGCCCAGGCATCGCGGCAGGAGGGTAGATTCTGGTTTTTTCAAGCAAGGGAATCCTTTGGTCTTGTTGAAATAGAAGTGCTTGTCTGTGATGAATCGCTTGATGCCAAGGAAGTCCTGGATGCGCCCCATCTCACCAGCAGGGTCAGTGATGAGCCGCTCACCACTGACGAAGTGTATCTGGGCCAGTGGGAAGTACCGCAGCCAGCTCTCCAGGTGCAGTGCATACATGCCGATGCGGATGGCATTCCAAGACACGTCCACCAGGCCCAGGCTGCGGTTGCGGAAGGACAGGCCCTCGAAGGTGGGGATGTCTGGCTTCTTGGAAAGCGTCTGCGTGTAGTCAGAGATGGCACGGGTCACAGGGTTCCGCACCACCACAATCAGCTTGGTATCCCTTGACATGTTGAAGATCCGTCGAGGGGCTTCTTGAGTAACGAAATAGCTGGGCGTCTTCTCTAGTGTGATCTGGGTCTCCAAGGTCCTGGGCATCAGGCTCCTGGGGGACAGAAGCAACACATTATCAGAGAGCATGACTGGTTTTGGTACACGGCTGTTAGCTCCCTCCATTTGGTGACCCATGAAGGCCCCTATCTCTCTCTCTCTCTCGTCCCATTTGAGTTTCTTACTTGGTGAGGAACTCACCTAAACTCATGTTGAATTTTTAAAATATATTTAACAAGGGCTTCTTTAAGGCAGAAGCAAACTGAATATCTGTTACTACAGGTTAAACAATTTTTTTTAACCAACCATTAGAGTCCATTAGATCTATATGTATTAACATGCAATGATTTTTAACATACAGTAAGCCTCTGTATCTATGGGCTTTATAGCTACAGATCCAACTAACTGTGGATTGAAAATATTTGGGGAGGCCAAATGGCCTGAGTTTGGACCCCCAGAATCCATGTAAAGATGGGTATCTGTATGTTTGTAAATACTAGCACTCTTATTTAAGATGTGCAGAGTAGAGACTCTCTGGAGGCCACTGGCCAGCTAGCTTGGTATATGCAACAGACAAAGAGAACCTGCCTCAAACAAGTTGGAATATGAGGAATGGTACTTGAGGCTTTTCTCTGATCTCCACATACATGGCTTGTTAAACACACACACACACACACACACACACACACACACACACACACACACACACACTGTATACACACACTCACGCTAAAAATATTTTAGGAAAATATATACATGCTAAATATATACAGATGTTTCTTTGTATACAATACTTACACTGTATTATGTACTATAAGCCAGTCACCTAGAAATGATTCAAAGACTACCTGAGGGTGAGTGTGGGGTACAGACTTCAGTATCCACAGAGTATGGTATTGTGGCTACTTACAACAAGGATGACCCTACACTTTACAATGAAGAAAGACCAAATATGGTCTCTTATCTAAAGAAGGAGACACAGGGATCTGGTAATTGTAGCTAGTGCTGTGGGGGAAACTGTATGTGGGTGGGGAGAGCCAGGCAATCGGGGATAAATGAGAATTACATTTGATTGTATAATCTTTTACGCTGCTTGAAATTTTTAATGTGTTTGTTATGTATTCAAAAATACAAAGTAAGCCGTTGAGTATTATCCTGGCAAAAAAAAAAATTCTTCAAATATATTAAAGTCTTTTTTTTTGAGGAGCAAAAAGCCTGTTTTTGCAAGAATAGCAATGGTTATAGAAATGAGTTCTGACGTCTTCTGTGGAAGAACATGTGAATTATACCCTTTGTGTAGTCTGCATGAAGCACAGACCTCTCCAGGCTGGTAGCAACCCCAGGCAGAGCCAGGCAATGCAGCCATCTTTCCCTTGCTTTTTTAATTTTCCGGTTCTGCTTGGGACTTCAAGGGATGAAAGTAGGAGCTCTGCAGTCTCCCTTCCAGATGCACCTCTCTCCGGCCTTGATGGAGAACACCCCTCATTCCCATTGATACTTTCCCCTGAAGGTCATGTCTTGTCTTTAAACCAGAATTTCTTGCTGGAGGCTGCACTTGAACATTACATAAGGATGCAACTTTTTCTTTCTTCCTCTCTGGTTCTTTGTTAGTTTGTTTCTTTCTCCCTGACACCTCTCTTTAAACAAAGATCTCTGGGGCTCTTTCCATTCTAAACCAATCAATTCAAAGTATTCTGGGCTAGGTCTGTTTTAAAGTTCCTTTTTTAAAGTTCACACTGAGTCAGATGAGGCCAAGAGGAAAGCAGAGCCAAGACAAACCCTTTTCCCAGTTCTACTGCCCAGCAACAGTGCACACCATCAGCCCCTAAAGCATCCATCCTCACTGTGCGACACAGACTCTCCATTCCCTGTATTCTCTATTCCTCCTATCGCCTCCACCTGGCCTCATGGCTTCCCAACTTCTGCTCTGTCTCCAGCTTTTTTTTTTTTTTAAGACAAAGAACCTCAATGTTTATTTAGTTGTTAGATTTCCTCAATTTAATGATATCCTTCTATTTGCCATGATAAACCCTATATACTAATATCCATTTGTTATTATTCTTCTCCCATTTATTCATTTTTTTATTTAGAGAATACTTTATTAGTTTTTGTAATCAAACCCACGTAGATAAGACCTTACCTATTTAATACAGTGCCTTACCCCTGTACAAATGGAAAAAAAATTAAGTTCATCATTTCTAGACCAATATGGCTGTTAATTTCTGTACAATGCCAACTCAACATGGTAAACTGGGATACTTTTTTCCAAAGTTCTGTTTCCAGCTTTTGTTTGCTTTCCTTTAGAGGTTCTCAACCTTCCTAATGCTATGGCCCTTTAATATGTTGTGGTGACCCCCAAACCACAAAATTACTTTCTACTTCATAACTCTAATTTTGCCACTGTTATGAACCATAATGCAAATATTTGTGTTTTCTGATGGTCTTAGGTGATCCCCATGAAAGAGTTGGTGGACACCCCCCCAGAAGGGTGGGTCTCAACCCATAGGTTGAGAATAACTACTTTAAAAATTCTCATAGTCAAACTTTGGGCCTTGTCATTGAAACTGTCATGATTCTAAAATGTTTCACCCTGTGATTTATTTTAGGGCAGTGAAATGAGTTCAGTGAGGCCTCTCGCAAAGACATATCCACATAGAACCTGTGAGTGTGACTTAACTGGGAGAAAGAGTCCATGGAGATGTAAAAGCGAAGTCCCCCATCCTGGATGTGTGGGACTCAAATCCACAATGGTAACCTTAGACACATAGGAAAGAGGGTATTCTGGCATAGTAGTTAACCTGAAGGCCAAGAACAACACAGTTGTCACCAAAACCATGACAGGCACAGAGCAGAGATCTTTCACAGCACATACTGGAAGCTGCCCCTGATAGCAGCTTCAAACCTCCAACAAGGTGGGAAGAATCACTCCCCTTGCTTCACTGTTACCTGGTTTCCAGTCTGGCATGGCCTCCATGGGAAATGACTTTGTCTCCTTTCACCTTTTACCACAGTTCCAAACTCATTATACCTGCCCTCAAACTTATCTATGAGCCTCTTGATTTCACTTTCTTCCATATTCTGGACCCAGTGAACAATAATTTTAACATCATATATATATATATATATATATATATATATTCAGTCTCTATTAATGCAGCATTCCAACTGTTCATCCCTTTCGATTCTGTGCCCGAGTTTCCAACCAATAGATAGAACTGCCTTCAGACAGTTAGCAGTTCTTGCTTTGGTTGAACCCTCAGCTGTGTGTACAGCATGCCCTGTCATTCTGCAATGTTTCAAATTCTCACTGTAAGCTCCCAACCCTGCTCCTCTTACCCACCCTTAATATGGGACTAGTGTCCTCCACACAAGGAAGATAAGCTCTCATATCCCAATTCTTTCAATTTTCCTCTATCCCATATTGAAACTGACTTTTTCCAGGCCCATTCCCAGACCTTCTTACTAGTTTCAGAGAACAATGTGTGCTGGGCTCATGGATTCACCTATGAGAGCAAGGTGTGTTGGGCTCATGGTTTACCCATGCTCATCCCACTTCCTCAGGCTTCTCTGAATACCCATCCTTAGGCCCCATATTCACCGTGCAGGAAGACTGATGCAATCAAGACCCAAAATCCGTATCAGCCCATATGGGCTGAAAGTTTTAATAGTGGTTATTAGTATGGAGTGGACCAAGTTTTAAATGTGGGATATCAAGCCAGGTATGGTAGCATGTCTGTAATCCCAGAACTTGGAAGGCAGAAGCAGGAGGATTATGAATTTGAGGGTAGCCTGGGCTACATAGTGAGACTCTTCTGTCTCAAAAGAAGAGAGAAGGGATGGAGGAGTTAAAACAACCCCAAATGCATTTCATTAGAATCTTTGGATGGAGTTTCCTAGACATATACTTGGTATACATTATAATTAGACAAGCAGGGGTTTATGATGAGAGTAGACACATTGCATATGTGGGGCAGGACACTTAAACCACCTCTAATGTTTTTCCAAACTGTGTGGGTGTTATTGATGCAAAGGTCTTCACCAGCATAGAGACTTGGTGCTTGGCAGACCATTAAACATAATTCTTTGCAATATCCTTTAGTGCAATAGGGAATATCTGAGAGGGAAACTGTGGAGGCAGCATTTCCCAAGCCTTAGTTGCACAGCTGTGAACTTTTGCCCTCAGTATCCATTAACATCTCCCCCTTTACTAGTTTGGAAAAATCCTGATCAATTCTGGTGACCTCCAGAGTAGCACAGTATCCCCCAGCTGGACACTAATAGACAGTCTACTATTCTAATTCCTAATAGACACGTCAGTTGCAAAATCAATATGATCAGTGCTAAAATAAAGGGGTCAAGCTATGGGATGGATAGTTGGCTCAATGGGCATGAGCACTTTCTGTGAAAGCATGAGGCTCTGAGTTTGGATTTCAGTAACTACAAAAGTTGCCAGGTGTGGCTGAGCATGCCTGCAACCACAGTGCTATAGAGGCAGTGGAGACATGAGGATTGCTGGGGCTTGCTGGAGGCCAGTCTAGCTCCAAGAGCAGCAACAGACCCCATCTCAAGGGAATAAGGGGTGGGGGGGGTGTTAGAGCAGGACAGCCAAGGTCCTTCTCCAGCTCTCTCTCTCTCTCTCTCTCTCTCTCTCTCTCTCTCTCACACACACACACACACACACACACACACACACACACATGAGAGCCAGATTGTAGGTAAGTTAACAGTAGTCGAGCCAAAAGATGAAGGGCTCCTGTGCACAGAAACATTTCTCTCTCTCTCTCTCTCTTCAAAGAATATTCTTGAATATTCATTTCTCATTAGGTCATTGGAACAGACCACTAGAGCCTGTGATGATACTGTGAGTAGAGGCCGGATGTCCACCTCCATGCTTTCCACACATGGGTGGGGACATGAGACAGCACCTTGAAGTCTGTTTTTCCTCCTTGTCACAGATGAAATTTTGCTTGTTTACAGTTTCTAGCAAACAGTGCAATGCTTCTCCCACTGCATATCTCTCTTGAGTCTCTGTATTCCTTCTTTTCTAT